AGGAGGGCATGAATCCTCCTCTTTCCTAGTAAATAATGCTTTAAATTGATGCTCAGTAAACAGCAACATAAAGATACTAATTCATGTTAGGGAGAAAACTAGCAGACATTCCAAAAAAGAAATAGAGTGGATGCTCTGCGAAGTGGGTGAGAAGGAAAGAGAGATTGTTACTTTTCGTTATAAATCTTTCTCCATTATATTGCTTTTTTGGTACTGCATGTACAACTCCACTAAAAATTAAAGGGAAAAGTCACAAATGGAATTGGAAGTCAGGAAGTAGAATTTTAAGTTTAGGTCATTCTTTTCAAGCTTAATTAGAAAGGGAAAGAAATATAGGGCAATGTTCACATGAGTGTACCTTCCCACCTTTCTATGAGGGAGATGTAATTTTCATTTCTTATTACTAATGAGCATGAAGAAAATTATAGGTGGAAGGAGTGAATGTCACTAGTTTCATTGATCTTAATTGGAGGTAATATGTGGGACCCAAGTGGAGGAAGATTGTTCACAGATTAGACAGAGAACTGCCCTCAAGATAAGAGTAAAGTTGTGCTTGCAGAATCCATATACCCAACATTTGGGTGTTCGAGATATGAATCCTGAAAAGGCATGACAATGGAAGTTCAGAGACAAGAGAATCAGTTTATATTAGGCAAAAGGCAAAGACAGAAGCTCAACTTGAGTAGGGGTCCAGAATGTCAGTCAAAGGATGGCCATCAGTCACACCTCTGCCAAAAATGTTTTGTGTTATACCATTTATAATATGTTCCAACACATTATTTCATGTCATCCTCATCACAAGACAGTGAGATAGATATTATCTTTCACATTAGATATATTTACTCTCTCCACTTGACAGGTGAGGACATTGGCCCTATGGAGATTTTGACTTGCTCATGTCACAGGTCTTGAAAATTCAATTCAGCTGGATTTTTCTTTTTCCTTCTTCTTTCTTTATTTTTATTTATTTATTTTTTTTATTTTGAGACGGGTTCTCACCAAGTTTCAAGGCTGGCCTTGAACTTGAGATCCTTCTGCCTCAGCCTTCCAAGTGGCTGGGATTATAGGTGTATGCCACTATACCCAGTTGTTCAACTGATGTTAAAGGTAGAACTTCTGTAACTGAGGTTCTAGTGTTCCAACTGCCCTTCATTGCTTCTACATACAGAGAATTTCCCAAAGACTATATATTGTAATCTAATTAATTCTTTTTTAAAAAGTGGCTTTGTATCTAATCTTATATTTGTTATTGTTGCAAAGGAATTATTCACTGGAAAGCTTTGAATAATGTAAATTTAGAAGTAAAGGAGAAAGAAATATTGTTTAGGAGGAAGTGAGCCAAGAATGAGGTTATCTTAGGTGAGAAAAGTTGACCAGAGACCTTTGTTAAAAGTACAGAGTATAAGTCCTGTCTTCAAAGGGAAAATATTGAAAGGCAGGGGGTAAGATAGAAAACAGGTTTCCGATAGGGCACGGCTTTCACAGGTCACACAGCTGTAACAGACAGGCACTGCCCATTCTGGCGCACACTGCCAAACTGCACAATAAACAGAGTGGTTTCTTATATACATCAGGAGATGCAAACAAGTAGTGAATCTCACATCCGTGCTTGAGAGGAAAGCCTTGTGACATAAAAAAGACTGATAGCAGAGTTAAAAGTTAAAGGAAGCTGGCAGGAGTAGTATGCTGCTAAAACCTTAAAACTTTGTGTACGACCCAGCAGGACTTCTGGTAGGGCTGTTCAAGAAAGTGGTGCTAGAATGAGATACCCATTCTCCCAGCTTCAGCCTTCCCTTTGCTTACCTTGATTACTTTTATGCCCAGAATTCAAGTACAGAAGATTGCTTTCCATGAACTCATGACCTTTCCCCTCTTGCTTATTTAGGTTTTCTTGATTTAGTTCAACAACTATTTCTAATTCTGTTTACTTGATCCTCATTTGTTCATCCCGGGTTCCATATGTTTTCTTATTTCCTTTCTGTCCCACTAGGTTTCACCCCAAAATTAATTGGGAGAGTATTTTCCACAACAACAGAACAACTTATCTTCTATTTTTCTCCCTCACTAATAATATACACCTTCATTTAAAAGAAAAAGAGATGGAAATAGATGAAAAGAGAGGGGAAGGGGAGGGAGGGAAAAAAAGAAAACCTCTTTTAGCCTTTTATTTTCCCTTCTTGCATCAGTATCAGGCCCCTATCCATTCTGAAAGTTCTATATACCTCTTTGTTCAGGAGTTATCCCCCTCACAGTTTTTCACGTTGCTTATTCAAAGACAGTCACCATTTTTCTCTTGAAACTTATGGGTTATTTTTCTTTAGAAATGTCATGTTAAGCTGTTTTAAGTAATTTAGTGCAGTCATGTTTATGTTTTCTTCCCTGGGATCCCCAGAAGTTTCCAGAAACTATTTGGGGGTTGAATTGTTTAGCCACAGAAAAACTTCTACTCAAACCTGGAGGAAGCCAAGTTGAGTTAAGCAGTGATTATGAAAATTAATTATTGGGAAAAGATATTAAATTGATGATAATAATAATTATGATTAGCCAGGTGTGGTGGTGCATTCCTGCAATCCCAGCTACACAGGAAGATCACAGATTGAGGTCAGCCATGGCAACTTAACAAGATCCTGTGTCAAAACAAACAAAAAGTAGAAAAGGCAGGGTATGTAGTTAAGTGGTAGAGTGTCACTGGGCTCAATCACCAGTACAGGGGGAAAAATTTCATTTATTGGGACTTGGAGATGTGGCTCAATGGTAGAGCATTTGCCTAGCATGTGGGAAAATATAATTATTTTTATGTTCTACAGATGAGAAACTGGTTCTGAAAGACTGATTGAAGTAGCATACCTAGGTGTTCTTTCTTTCTTGCATCATATATGCATTTAATATATAAATTATTTCTTCAGAAAAACACATATTAAACACTTGCCATGCATAAAATATTCTCAGGCATTATTATGTTCCCAAAGATGAATGGAATTGCCTGCCTTGAGACTTTATATCTAGCATTAGAGAGATATAACTGCTTCATTGGGATATTGCATAGGGGATTCAAGCACTGAATGAAAACTTCTGATGAATAACATATAAGGGACATTCTAACCCTAGAAGTATAGGATTCTAACACATCGCCCTGTTTTCTGGGAGATTATGGCCAAATATAGGCCATATGAAAGACATATAATACCTATAATATAAGAAAGTGTGGGTAGGGGCCACTCCAGTTCAGCGTCCAGTGACTGAGGGAACACTGTGTGGGGTCTGGCACTTGAACTGGTATCTGAACAAAAGGTAGAATTTCAATGAAGAGAATTAGAGATTTGGAAAGAGTTCTTCAGGCCCACAGAAGGATATGAGCAAAGCTATAGAGATTAAAAAAAAAAAAAAAAAACTAATACATATGTATATGATATGTGAAAAATAATTTGGATTTCAAAGAACATAGGTTTAAATAAAGAAATTTCTAGAAAATAGCTTTTGGGAGGCTTAACATGGTGAAAGTTTTATACAAAATTATATCATACATTCATTGGCATATGAGTTGGGAGCCATATTTAGATTTATTTGAGCTCTGCCATTTTAGGTGTTAACTTTCATAAATGAATGATTGCCTATGAGTTAGGAGTCTTGGTTACCTTATTATACAAGGGAGTGAGGAATGTGTGCCTTGAAATGGAGGTAATAACTGGGCTAGCAGCACTGTCGGGGTTATTACCATGCATCCTTATGTATTTCTAGTGTCATACTTTGGCCACCAGTCTTCAGTTTTTTAGTTTGGGTTTTGATTTTGGTTTCCCTGAAGTCCTTATGTGGCTCATGCATATTTTTTCCCAAAGTCAGAATACTCAAACTGCAGTGATTTCAGAAGGCCCTTCACCATGTCATAGTATTTTGCCCTCTTAAAAAAGAAAAACAATAGCTGTGTTAAATTTCAAGTTTATGTGAGCAAGAAAAAGGTTCTAGAACTGAACTGCATTCTGGACTGCAGTTAGTTCAGAATGCTGAGCCCCATTGCCTGTGCAGATTATATTTATAGCTGGAGAAAATGAAGTGACATACAGGAACAACCTGATTGGCTGCAGTCAGTATTTGCCTTATATGGGCATGGTGTGATGAAGCTTTTTATTTGCTTTATAGGACATAGTTTGGTCAGTTGGCAGCCTATTCCTGGCTGAAGCTCAACTGCTGTGATTGTCTGACACTCAGCTGTAATACTCTGAGATTAGTTTGTAATTTGTTTACATATCAAGTAAGGTTGCAGTTCACTACATGTGGAGGCAGTTTGGGGACAAATTTATCATCCTGCTACAGAAACAGACTTAGGTGAAACTTGTTAAATTTAACAGCACCAAACCCAAATTGCCCATTTTTATCCTCTTTTTCCATTGAAGTTCTTTTCTTTCCTTAAAAAAAAAAAAAAAAAAAAGATGTGGCAGAATATATATAACATAAAATTTACTTTCTTAATCATTTTTGAATTAGAGTTCAGTAATATATTCATATTGTTGTTTTAGTCAGCTTTTTTGCTGCTGTGACTAAAGGATCTGACCAGAACAACTCTAAGGAGGAAAAGTTTATTTTAGGGCTCACAGTTTCAGAGGCCTTAGTCCAGAGAAGGCTGGCTCCATTTCTTGGGGCTCAAGATGAGACTGAACATCATGGCAGAGGGTGTGGCAGAGGAAAGCAGCTCACATCATGGTGATCAAGAAGCAGAGAGACTGACTCCACTTTCCAGGTACAAATATGTACACCAATTCCCACCTCCTTCAGCCACACCCTGCCACTTTAGTTAATCCTGTCAGGGATCAACTCACTGATTAGGCTAGGGCTGTAATCCAATCATTTCTCCTCCAAACCTTGTTGCGTTATCTCACATGTGAGCTTCTCGGGGACACCACATCTAAACCATAACAGTTGTACAACAGATTTCCATTTCTGTTTCATCTTGCATAACTGAAACTATATGCTCATTAAACAACTCCTCATTTTTCTCTTCCCAGCAGCTGGCAACCACCATTCTACTTTCTGCTTCTGTGAAGTTGACTACTGTAACTCCTCCTATTGAGCATCTTTTCATATGCCTGTTGGACATCTGTATATCTTCTTTAGGGAAATGTCTACACAAGTCACTTTCTCATTTTCAGTTTGGGTTAGTTGTTTTTTGTTGTTAAGTTGTAGGAATTTGTTATATATTCTGGATATTAACTCCTTATCAGATATATTATTTGCAAATGTTTCCTTCCATTCTGTAGTTGACTTTTTACTCATTTATTGTATTCTTTGATTCACAAGTTTTTCATTTTGATGTACAATTTATTAATTTTGCTTTTGTTACGTGTGTTTGCTTGATACATTTTTTAAAAGAGCTGTTGCAAAACTTGCATTTAACATCTAGCATGACATTCTTCCTGGCATGTGTGTGACACTTCCACCCTATTCCTTGCATTCTTTTATGTAGTCATCATGGAAATAAAACATTCATCAGAGCATAAAATATAGCAAAAAGAGAAAATACAAGGCATAAAATAGTGAGCACCATCCAAACCAAGTGAAACAGAATGGCATATTAGCACATGTAGACTGAAAATGTTTTGATGACCCTCCTCTCTGCAGTACTAGTCATAAACATGGATGTTAACTCCATGTTTTAGTATTCTAAGTAAATTATATATACACATTAAAATATTCCATAGTTAACTAATGGCATACAGAGCACAATATGCTATCAAAGTATCTTATGTGTGTATGTTCTTTTTTTTATTAAATAATGGTAACTGCACTATACATATGGTGATCATATTCCCTGGTTTACCTAGGATGGCCTTGTCTATACAATATTAAAGGCCCAAAGTGGATGGGAAGAGGATAAAGGGCAAGCCTGTTAATGGTATAGCCTAGTTTATCTTATTCTCAGTGCTTCATCCTTAGTGCTTTATCCTCAGGGATCTAACTCCCAGATCTAACTTCCAGATTAAAAAGTAAAACACCATATAATAGGGTTCACATGTCAAAATCTCATTATCATATCATATCATAGGTGCTTGTTCTCAAAAACTTCTTGAAGGCAGATACAGTAAAGAACCACAGATCACAGTTCTGTTCATCAGGGTAAGGGCTTTGGACTAAACTATATAAATTATTCTATTGAAATATCTCCCAGTTCTATTTTTCTTCTTATTGTATCATCCAAAAAATGCCCAATTTAAGAGAATGTGATTGAAGGGACAAAATGAAATCCGAGTTAGGGAAATTAGGCTTTCTAAGTGGCATTGTCCCTGAAAAATGCTACAATGTGAGGGTTTTGTTTGGTTTTGGTTTTGTTTCCCCTACTCTTGTTGGTGGTGGATCTTTATTTTTATTTGGTGCTAAGAATCAAACCCAGTGCCTCACACATGCTAAGCAAGTGCTGTACCACTGAGCCACAACCCCAGCCCTCCCCCCTGCTCTTGTTGGCAAGTTAGAATCCTAAAATCTTTCCTTTTTACCCTGTACACCATTAATAGCATATAGTGCCTCAGTGAACCACGTGGTGTTGGTCTAATGGCAGGAGCGGTTCATGCATTTTCATAAACATCTAATTTATTGCCAGGAAAAGGCTTGGGTAGTGGGGGAAGATATACTTCCAGATTAAAAAGTAAAACACCAGTTAATAGGGTTCACATGTCAGAATTTCATTATCATACTTTTTCTGCTTTTTATTTGTGAGACTGTTGCTTTTAAGATTTGGGGTTTCTAATTATTCCTAAGTGAAAGTATATTTGAAAAGCAGAGATTTTTCTTGTCTTGCTCCCGTTATTATTAAACTTACTGGTGGTGTTCCCTTAGTGGGAACCAAGGTTATTTGAGATGTGTTCCTGCAGTGGTTTCCCTTCGTGACATTTTATTTTCAAGCTCCTTTTTGTTAGTAATATAGTTAATAACTGCAGCCATTTCATGCCTGTTATTCATAGGAATAGAATGCTGTCCTTTTTTCCTCAGTATTGTATTGTGTTATGAATACTGAAGTGGTGAGAATCTATCCCAGAATTTTAGAGAGGAGTTGGAGCCCTGTGAATGCAGCCTGGCATGTGTCTGGAATGTTTATAGAGTTGTTGAAATGACTGCAGTAGATTTCCAATGCTTTTGAGAGATTCTTCAGCTTTTAATTTTTGGTTAATCAGTAAGTAGTACTTTCTTTAACAATAAAGACACCTTACCAGGACATGAGACAATGTATCCATTTATAGGTATAGTACTCTCTGTTTACAGTGCATCTTCAGAGCAGATTTTTTCCAAAATTTAATTGGGACTCTGAAGAGAATACACTGCAGTCCATATATTCAGCTGAAGCCCCAGGTTAAGTGCAGCCTTCCTCTGGAGAACCTGTGCCATCCAGGTATTCATTTAACAACCATGTGAAAAATATCCTGCCCAGGCCATAAAGTTGTGTTCAGCTGACAGAGCTAATTTAGTATTTTCTTCTTTTGAGCTTTACACTTTATCTTCATTTATTGCAGGTCATAAACTTTACAGAGTATTGCCTTTTATATGGCATACTGAAAGTGCATTTTTAAAACTAGAGAAAAAATTCCTGTGAGGTAATATTCACAACTATAAAAATCTACATTTAAATTTACGCTCTAAATGTGTTTGTAGTGAGGTGAATAGAGTCAGGATCATCAGTTTGATTGAGCTGCAGTTTGATTTGATAGCAGTGTTCATTTGGTCTTTAATTGTTTCCTACATGCTCTATTGTTATATCTTATTAAAATACAAATGACAGCTAAAGTATTTATCATTTCTCTTTAGATATAATGAAAATTCATGATTCTGTTTGATTATTCTTGAATGTCCTAAATATAATTAATAAGTGAACAATGAAGTGTCTTTGTTCTTTGAATAAATATCAAGCTATATTCAAATCAGTGGTTCTCAACCTTTTTTTGCTGCAGTACATCTGACAGATATAACCTGCTTCTATAACCCATCACCCTGACTGAGAAGAATATAGTTATAGTCAAGCTTATATCACTTATTGTGTGGGCTGAAAAGACCTGCCTGGCAGTTCTATATGCCCCTCCACTGGTACACTGTCCTTCTCTTCCATCACATATTACACCTTGAGAACTGCTGACTTAAATGATGTTTGTGTAGTTGGGGGAGAGTGGAAACAGCTGAATTCATTTCAAGTTGAGACTTCATGTTCCTTTAACTCTGCTAATGCTTAGATGACACTAAGACTTGACTGATGCAAAATATCACGAGCTGGATGCCTTACGGCTCAATGACATGATGCTGATGAGCTTTACAGCTGTCTTCTGCCAATGATGTTAGTTTAAATGAGCCAAGAGTCAGTAATTTCAGGCCATTGTAAGAAGATAAGTGATCTGTGGTATGAATGCCTTCCATAGATAGACTTTCATTAAATTTGAGAATGGGTCACTTACTGGTTTTAAAAAACATTTTTGTTAAAAGAGATAAAGTCAGCCATAACATTTTGACCTTAAAATAGTAACAAAATTTAACAGAACAAAAATCTGCTGGCATGTAGCTTTTTCTTTCTATCTCTTAGAAATTTTATTGTGATATAATTTATATACCATCAATTCATCCAGTTTAAAGTTTTGACTTACTCAAATGATTTTAAAATCATTTCAGTAATTTTTAGCAGTTTATTAGAGTTATACAACCATCACTGTAATCTAGTCTTTGAACATTTTCATCACCCAAAACATTCCCTTGAACCTGTTTACAATCTATCCCCTTTCCTATACCCAGACCTAGACAACCACTAATCAGCCTTGTATCTCCCCCTCCCTCCCTCTCTCCTTCTCTCTTTTTCCTTCATAGTGCTGGGAATTAAACCCAGGGCCTCCTGTATGTGAGGCCCATGCTTTACCACTGAAACATATATATATACCCATCCATGCTGATCTATTTTCTGCCCTCAGGGATTTGACAATTCATATAAGCACCTGATTTTTTTCACTTTGTGTAATGATTGGGGGTGAGGGACATTCATCTATATTGTAGCTTATATCAATACTTTGTTCCTTTCCTTTGCTAAATAGTGATCCATTGTGCTGATATTTTGTTTATCCATTCCATAATGTAGTCTTTTACATTATATTCCTTGTACTTTTCTTCATTTACCCAGCTCCCAGCCTTCTTGCCTGGTTTCCAAAATCAAATGGAGCTTTCCTGTATTTGATCTTTTAGGCTCTCTAATGAGCACTTTGTACTGTACTCCCTTAACTTAGTCATCTCACCACTTGAATATAGACTTAGGTCCCCAACCTGGGAAATAAACATTTTTATAGCACGAAATTGTAACTTTTTAGGCAGTTTATTGAGTTGAAGATTTTGACCTCAGGAACTGGTCAACAAATTTTAAATGTCCTGTTAGGTCTGAGAGATACAATAGAGTTGAAGATTTCTGTGGTAATTATGAAGTCAACCTTAGAGTTCTCTGCCACTGATGAGAAAAAAAAAAATCCTAGTCTTGCTTACAAATTTAAAGTGAGTCCAGTCAGAGCAGTTTTGAGTTTTCACAGTTATTCCTTTATCTTATTGTCTTATAGTGTGACAAGGCTTTCTGTTCTCATCCATTGTTCTAAGTAATGATTCTAATACCAGCAATATACTTCACTTCATGTTTTTTTAAATATTTATTTTTCAATTGTAGTTGGACACAATACCTTTATTTTATTTATTTTTATGTGGTGCTGAGGATCAAACCCAGGGCCTTGCACATGCTAGGCGAGCACTCTACCGCTGATCCATAACCCCAGCCCTCACTTCATGTTTTAATATCTCATAAGACTCATTTTACTAGAGATTCTTTTGTTTCTTTAAATTTTTTTAAACATTTAATTTTGATTATGACTACTCTTTTAGGGAAGTCTGATTTATTAAATCTGCTGAGGTAATATAAAACAAAAGAATATTTTATTATTTATTTTAATTACAAATTATCCTCTTCATATAATAGACATCAATTGAATGTCCGAAGGGCCTTAGAGATGCAATGGGGGAAAAAGATAAAAGTTGATGGCTCCTAGTTCCATAGGGCTTATACTTTCTTTCTTTTTTTAATCTTTATTTATTTTTTTATGTGGTGCTGAGGATCGAACTCAGTGCCTCATGGGTGCGAGGCAGGCACTCCACCACTGAGCCACAGCCCCAACCCCAAGGGCTTATACTTTCTGCAAGCTGATACATATGAGACAAAAAGAAAACCCACATTGGTGGATTCCATGGGTTCTAGGAGCCCTAGCCAGTCTGCCACCTTCTTTCTGCCATTTGGAGTCTTCTTGTGTTAGTTTTATATAATGTCCAAAATGTTTAGTTGTACTTAGCAGGAGGAGTACGGGATAGCACACCTACTTCATCTCATTTTCCCAGCATCCATGTGCCTTGATGAACTTAAGTTACCTTGCTTGGGAAAACTTTTAAAGTAAGATCCATTTACCAATATACCAAATTCTGTGTAATGAAATGTCAGTATGGCTCACTTAATTTTAACGATCTTGTTTATTTTGGCATGAGGTTTTCCAAAGTATTATGTTAAAATAAATTTCTATATAATTTTATTCCCAGCACATCTAGATAATAATAGTCTTATAGTTGTTTTTATTTTTGAATAATTATCAGTAATTTAATTAAATAGAAGGTAAGATCCGAATCATATTCATTCTAGGTAAAAAAAAAAAAATATGCACATACACTAAGATAAATTTAAGTAGAAAAATTCATGTCTAATACCTATTACATTACTTTTACAGTGAAAACAATAGTTTTTAAAAACTGCCTTTAGTGTTGATATTTGTTCATCAATTAAGGATATAATTTTATTGTTTTCTTCTTGGGTAAGGAGTCTATCCTAGACTAGAGCCAGATTTCTAACGTAACTGGTTATAATCCTTGCTGTTTCATTTTCCAGCTCTTCCTTTTTTGTTTCATATTTACTTTACAGGGTAAGCCTAGAGAAATTCTAAATAAGGATCTTCAGCCTTTCCAAAGACAGTTTTGTCAGACTAAAACTTTACCATTGGAGGCTCTTAAAAACTGTAACATTACTTAAAAAAAAAAAAAATTGCACGAACTAGAAAGCCCTTCTTTCTTGGTCTTGAGAGTCTTACCAATGAGCAAAGACATGACAACATGGTAAAGCTGACCTAAATCCAGCAATTTGGGGCTGCTTAGCTATGAAGTTGAAGTGGTTGGGAAAGTAGGAAGGAAACTATTCTCCCATTTGCTGGGGGTAGATGAGAGAAGGGAAAGAAAATATGACCTCCCTTCCTCACTAGCTGTGTTGTAGGCCTGCTAAAATATTGTTCCCCACTCTTTGTTGAACAGTGTTAAAATATACATATATATATATATATTTATGCAAATCCATTGTAAAGGTAAATAGTTAAATGTAACTGATAGGCATTGAAAAGAAATAACTTTACAATATACACCTTAGCTTAGTATGGGCAGTACTGTACTAGTGTCACTTCATGAAGCCTCTCCCCCCTACTGTACCTTTGTCAGATCTGTAACCTACATTTCTTTCCATTCTTTGAAAATTTTTTAATATGTTCTATGCAATGTATAAGTACTGTGTTTAAAAAGGAAAACAGAATGTGCTATTGTTGATAGATAGGAATGAAGAAATTCTAATAGTATCACTCTTCTTTTTCTGATAGTCTGGAAGATAATAGCTTTTGATTATGAGATTAATGAAGAGATGTGTCTGTTTCTCCTTTGCTAAAATTTCTTGACTAAAACTTGAGCTTGAGTAATGTTTTTCTTTCTTAGTGACTGGTAGTTTAAAGGGTTTTTCCCCCCATTATTTTTTTTATTGGTGCATTATAATTGTACATAATAATGGGATTTTTTTGTTATAAATTTTACTTACAGTGACTGTTAGTTTTGACAAAGTACTTCCATACTTACTTCAGAGCATAAGATGGCATGCTCTAAAACATCAGACATCTTTGGGGATTCTGTGGATAGAATCCACAGGGTTCAAGAATTGGGAAAAAAATCATTTTCGTTTTTCTTACAAGTTTTCGAAATTTAACCCAGATGTCCTATTGTCCCACTTATGGAACACCTAAAAAATTTAAATTGAGCAACAAATACATCACTTATGGTAACTTCAAAATAAGTATTTATGGTCTTAGAGTTTTATTCTTTTATAAAAAGTAATAAGTGAATTATTAGTGATAATATTCATTAAAATATTATTAACAATAATAAATTATATAATAAGATTATGATTTCCAACCTATATTAATGCACCTGTTTCACTGAAATAGTCTCAGAATTGAAAACTTGGGATTTAATAGGTTAATTTCTACTGGTGACAAAGTCACAGGAACTGCTAAATTTTATATGTTATATGTTATAAATAATTTTTTCTGTTATATAAATAATTTTTATCTGTTATATGTTATATAATATATTTTTATATTATATGTTATATAATTTTTTATTTTATGTTATTTTTTATAATAAATTTAAATAATAAAATATTTTTATTTTATATGTTATATAATATAATTTTTATAACATATAACAGACATTTTTATAACATTACAATTGTTACAGATATATCAAAATATCTTCATCACTATTTTAGCATAATGGTAGTTTGTGTTATTGGAATTAATATTAATATGTAATCAGTATGCATTATTAATGTCCAGTATACATTACCAAGTTCCTGTGACTTTGTCACCAGTAGAAATTAATCCATTAAGTCCCAAGTTTGCAATTCTGAGACTATGTCAGTGAAATAGGTACATTAATATAGGTTGGAAATCATAATCTGATCTTATTATATAGTTTATTATTGTTAATAATAAGTACATACAGTACTCATATTACTATATAACAAGTTTGGATTTAAAAAAAAATATTTTGGTCTCTA